TTTAGAGTTATTGAATTTTAAATTGTTTTTCACTTTTTACTGATATTGCAGGTGCTTTGGTTTGTTTCGGACGTGCACCAATGACAAAGCGGTTTCCACTTCACACAGAAATGTGGACACCACGTTCTTTGTCTGCTTTAGGTCCACCAGGCACTCCAACTCAAGCTTTCACTTCAGTCTCTTCATTCTATTACCAAGAACGAGTAAGATAATGCTAGTACTAGGACGTATTGGATTTCATTGAATCCATCTTAATATTCCTTTCACTTGGCTACAGGCTCAAGCCTCACGAGTACGTTCCCGAGCACTCCATACCAGCTCTCGAGGACTTGTTGGTCGCATGACTCCAACACGCACTACCAGGGCTGCTGTGCTTATTTATGACGCCTCACCTTTATTTCTCCTGCATAGGGAACTGGGTGAAAAGTATATGTGAGTCTTTAATTAATTTTCTTCTTCTAGCCTTTAGTTCTCCAGTTTCATAGTTTGTTAGTTTTTAATTCATTTAAATTTCTTGTTTATAGCATTAATTGTCATGATGTTGTCGCTATGTGCCAACGGAATGCAGCAGTTGCAGCCTCTGTCAATCGCCGTGACTTAGTTCAGGCTTGGACAACAGCTGCTCTTGCTGCTTCCAATCCAGAGCAAGATCCTGATGACGGAGTTCCTTGGACACACCATCCTTTTGGACGCAGTCTTATTGAGTCAATGTACCGTTTTATGTTTAAACAATTGCATTCTTGCTCAAAACGCCACTGGGAACCCTTTCATGTTAACTTCTATATTGTTACAGGATTGCTCATTTTGCCAACCAATCAGACATCCAGACTGCTGCCATGCTCTGTTGTGCGTTTAGTCCTCGGACTGACAGTCCTGACGTCAACCGCTTTAAATCATCTCTTTGCAAGTCTGTCAATCTCAGTGTAAGTTATCTTTAATAATGTCGCATATCTGTTTTCTGTATCAATAGTCACACGGTTGATTTATTTGTCAATATGGTTCATATTTTGCAAATGATTGATGATGTATCAATTATTTACTTACAGTAATTTCATTTCTACATAAAAGAAAAAAAAACTCCTCAATAATCTGATACAAATTTAATGCTAAACAGCTTGAAATGCATGAGTTCTGCATAGAATATCATAATTGTGGGCGCGCATATATTTTAAACAAAAAGACGGGGACATTGTTTTTGTATTAATGCTATGCAGACAGGGGGGAAAAAGAACAATGTGTGTACTTTTTTTTTGTGTTTGCAAAATTATGTGTTCAGTTGCACCTTGAGCTTTATTGCATGCACAAGTTTGCTTTGCACTCATTGCTCCAAGAAAACATTCAGGAAATTCTTTGTTCACCAGTGTGTAACATACCACACCACATTCATAACTTCAGGTGTTGTTTCAGTTTTCTACCTGCTCTGACTTTTGACACTTTCCACTTACTACATGCTTACCTATTCTATATTATATATATCTCTCTCTCCTGTACCATACTGTTGTGTGGTTTAGGGACTTTACATATAGTTCTATCTTATGGGTGATTGGTAAAATTTAATTACTGCACCCTTTCTCTTGTATGACTGTTATTTTCATTACTACTTCTACTATGATTGGCAATTTTCCTGAATAACGCATTGACTGTGAATAATTCGTAAGTCTCATATGGTAATCTGTCGTGTGATCTCATTGAGGTCATGGCACTTACAATGTTTTTACAATGATTTCCACTTGAATTATTCAAGAAAATTTTTGCACTCTTCATAAGCTTTCACCTAACTTGTATTACAATGACATAGAAACTGTATTTTTTGTTTTAGCGTCTTCCCTCAGGGAAATGGTGGAGCAAGGTAATGTATTGTATAGGTTTTAAAATGTAGATGAAATTCCGAGTTTGACCTTAGCTCTAGTTGTAGTTAATTTGTTCTTTCTGTGATTTTTAAAGAGTTAACTGAGTTTGCTACTTTTGAACTATGTTTGCCAATTATTGTTGGTGCTCTTAGTGCTGAAGCATGTTGATTTGACAATCTTACTTGCAACACAGAATGACACTTGTTGCAACCTTCATACTGGGATATATGCTGGAAATTGGAAATTCTTCTCAATATTATTTTTTACTCTTTTGTGCTTTGCATGAATTTGCTTTGTTTTCATTGTATTTGCTCACATTTTTTTGTAATATTGTACAATACTTTCACATCATTTCATGCATGAAATTTTAATGCCCATTTTCTTTTTTTTTACGGTCATTTGCATTTCCAAAAATTAAAAATTAAACTGTTTGTAGTTGGTGATGTTTGGCGAAAGTTGTTACACACAGTAATCTTGATGATAGTGACTGTCATTTTTCCAGTCTAATTTTTTTCAATATTATTTTTTCAGCCTGGAGGTTCACCATACCATACAATTCACCCTCAGGACACCAGTCTTGAAGGGTGGAATTACCCATTGCTAAAACAGAACAGGTCAAATTCATGGTCTGACTCATTAGAGGGTTTGAAAGTTAATGAAATAAAGGAAGTTGGTTTTGGTGACACGTTGGACATATTCTCTAGTGTGAATGAAAAAGGGTAACTGTTTATACATGCAAATATTAATATTTCCTCAAAATGTCTACAGATTTTTTTCTGTGATGTTATCTTTTCAAATGTTGAAATATTTTGAATGGTTTTCAGCATGTTGGATGAGAAGAAAACATGGTTATATGATGAATACAAGAGGGCATATGCTGATATATTGCACAGGTGGGGTCTCTTGGATGCCCGAGCCCAGGTTAGTATTCACCAATTAAAATTCAAATGACCTTGTACAATTGAGAAATTTGCAGAACACATATGGCATACATTCTTTTAGTTTTAAATCTATATTTACAAGTAGAAAAATTGAATTAGTTGGGATGTAACTCCCCTGATTTGTATGTCCTACAGGTTATGAAATATATGTCGACTGGTCTTGAGGTTCATCATGGTGTAGAGTTTAGGAGTGAGTGCCAAAAGTGCGCTGTAGTCAGTAGCACAGCATCTTGCCCCCTGTGCAAACGAATAAGTCTACAGTGTGTAATATGCCACATATCGGTTCGAGGTATGATTATCTGAAAGAGGATTCTATCTGTACAGTAGACTTGCCATCTTTAGTTACTATACTGTTTTTGTCTCTCTTTTCTAGGTCCTTCTAACGTTTGTTTAGTCTGTGGTCATGGAGGACACTTACTACATATGCAGGCATGGTTCCGAAAGGAAACTCGATGTCCTACAGGTTGTGGATGTAGTTGTCTCATCGAAAGCTCTTCAATTATCGAACCTTAGGCAGACTCACTGCTTTCGTGTGATATAGAAGACATGTTTGTCTTGTGTGTGAACTGTGATTAGCTGTGATAAAATTGCAGTGTTGGTAGTCTATCCAACTTGGACTGGAATTTCATATAGGATTGTACTCGGTGTGTAAGTACTTCACCTGAAATTATTTTCTGAACAGCCAACATAGTTGTTGTTTCTTAAAAGGGAGATGCACAAAGTATTTTATGTTATTTGTGCACTAACTGAGTTAAAAGGGCAATCAAGTTTATTCTTTTTTCTCTTGAATTGGACTGATTTTGGAGCTCTTAGTAAATTATTTAATTAATGTGAACAATTATTATTCTTGATCACCTACATCTGGGTTCTTCTAGGTATTTATGTGCATATTAAACAATCATGGTGACTTATTTATATTATTTGCACAAAAATTGATGCCGCTTTCCACATTGAACCCAAAATATTTGTAAGGTACAAAATCATTTTAATCAGTGATGTACAAAAGAAAAGAAGACTTTTTACATTTCCAAAGCACTTAGAATTCCAGTAACCACAGTAACTATTTTTCTAATAGTTGAATCTTAGAGAATGGTAAGATAAGCTCTTCTTGAAATACTTGTGGCAGGTCTTCTTAAAAATGTGTCCGAAACCAGTCTTTTTGTAGTCTTTTATCTTAGGGTGTACCTAAGGTTTTACCAATCACAGTGTTTTTGTGGTTGTTGCGGTATTTAGTTAGTCAGGATTTTTTTTTAGTTAAGGTAGATGAAACAGGGTATATTTTTTTAAATCTTTCAGAAGTATTGGCTGGTACTAGCTCTATACACTTCGTCTTAATGTATCAAGAAATCTCTATTCATGTGAACAAAGTTGTTTGTTTTCATCACTTAGTCATTGTCATAAATTCCCCATTTTCATCATTTCTAATGATGTTTTGTCTTTATCAAAATGGAAAGCACTTTAGAAAATGATAAATTTCTGCTATCATTTCCCTTTGTTTCTAAACTTCATTAATTTATTTTCTTCCTTTTTCCTAAAACGTAGTGCCATTTTGGAGGATTTTTTTGTATGGTGTTTCCTATCCTTGTATCACAATTAATACCTGTATACCTTTTAGGGTCAAATTAGACAATTATTTATTACTGTTTATGTAGATGTTGTCTGTAATGTGCAACTGCACATAACTACTAATTTCTATGATATCTATCTTAATTTATTTTTTGTCTGTTATTTTGTGTAATTGTGCTAGGGGGTGCATTGCATTAATGTTTGTTTTTTACAACGGTCTATCTTCTGCTTAAAATTATTGGTCGTTTTCTTTGGTATATACAGATGCTAAATCTCCCATGTCTAAGTAACCGTACCGTTCCGGTAATAAACACATACATTTTATGAAGTATCACATTTTTTTTCCAAGCTGCCGCATTCATTAGGGCTGAGAGCACCGAAGTGGACGTCAACACAACGTCCACTGGAGTGGAAGCGAAAGCTGAGGTGCCAATAAGAGTGAAGTGCAAGGGAAAGGGATAGGGGCGCACCCGGGCGCACCCCCCGGGCTCTGGTCGCAGCGCTGCCCTGCCCGTCGACGGGACCCCGCAACGCCTTGGTGCTCGTGGCTCATGGCGTTTCTCTCTCCCAAGTCCTCATCCAATGGCTATTTTGAGCGGCGCGGCTATGGCCCCCGCCATCCAGTCGCCAAGTCTCCTCCGACCCGGCGCGAGACGAAGGACCTTGCCAATGAGCAGGGCCGGCGCCCGGCGCACCGCCCCTCGCCACCATCGTGTGGTCCAGCAAGATTCTGCGAGCGCCATCCGGTTTGAGCCGACTCTGGAGCACCGCGTGGTGCTGCGACTCGATGCGATGGGATGGAAATAGAAGCACTCTCCTCCTCCTCCTTCCTCCCTCTCGGCGGTAATGCCGTCATCGGCTTGCGTGCCCCAGCTGCATAGAGGCACGGCCGCCCATCGAAGCGCTCCAACCTGGGCTCAGCCGAGGCCACCTTCAATAACAACCCCGCCACCTTTCATCTCTCATCTCACAACCCTAACTTAGGCTCAGCTTGCCGCACACGGGCTTAACAAACCTCGACTCGACTAAAACAGAGTCCGCACCCCCTTTCAGGTACCCTGTTCAGTTTTCGAATGGTTTTATTGACATCAAATTAGATTAAATTTGGATTTTACAAAGGTACCCGGGCCAGCGCCTTCGACGTAGGCAACCTCGTGAACAGGAGCGCTCCCCCGTAAGGCGCTCTGCCTACCTACAGCGCCTTGGACGTAGGCAACCCCCTGGTCGGTGTGGCTCCCTGTGGCTGCCTACCCAGAGCGCCTTGCACGTAGGCAACCTCCTGAACGTCGGTGCTCCCCAGTCAGGCACGCTGCTTATCTTGCCTCCTCCATCAGCAGGTAAGTGTTGTTTCCCCCCACCCCCTTCTTATTGCATTCATAATTTGCATAGCGCTGCGCTGCCGTCCGTGTGAAGATGACCCGGGGGAGGTCGTATTCCTCTTGTTGCAGGCGGCTGGAGGCGGCGCTGTAGAGCATATTTTGGTCCAATCCAAGCCTCTCTCCCATCTTGATGGCCTCTGCAACTCTCGGCACAGCCCCAGGCAAGTGTTATCTCTGTTTTCCTTATTCGTTTGGCGAGGGACTGCATTTGGGGCTGCTAGGAGGCAGACATTTGTAGGTAAAAGGGGAGCGGGGGATGGACCCTCCTTGTCCTCCCCCCGACACCTCAGACCCCGTCCACGTCGCTGCGGGGTGGGGCGGGGGCTGCGGAGCGGTGAGCGGGTTACGCTCCCTGGCGACAGAAAAGGGATCAATACTCAATAATGCAGCTCTCATCGCAGACGTCTGGTGGCGAAAGAAATGATGATGAGATTAATAAAGAAAGCCCCGGCCGCCCTGCCCCCACCAATTGCGGTTGATGTGCCGTGTTCGATTTGGCACTGCCGCTACCGAACCAGGGAATGCTGAATGCTGAACGCGGCCCTCTCTTCTCGCGGGAGTGACAGTTGTATTTATGGGATTTGAAAGAGGCGACAGCGATAGTGGTCTCTTTATGGACATCGCCATCGCGGACTGTCGTGTCGCTTGTCTGTGCCGCAAGTTATGGCGGCAGGCTGCTGGCCGCCCCGACCCGCGCCGCCCATCGCATCGCATCGCTGCCGCAAGCTCATAGAAAGTGGTCGTCGCGTGGTGGTTCGTGGGGGGTGGTGCGGAGTCAGCTTTGAAACCATGGGTACTTCTTTCCTACCTTCACCAGATTTTTCAAAATACTCTCATTTTCTCTGACCTCACGCACCACTTCGCTCTTCCCCGACCTCTGGCCGTCTGAATTGTTTTTTGTGCTACCCAAATAATGTAAATAGTGTGCAAAGATATTTGGTCTATGCTGGTTATATCCCTTCCTTCCTTCGCCCCTCGAACCCCGGTGGCGAAATGACGTCACCGCCTCGACTGCCCTGGGAAGGGAAGGTACCTCCAATGTTAGTCGTTAATCACGAGAAAGTACGAGGACTCTTTAGGGAAAGTGAAAGGGGGCTGGGGCTGCTTTGGCGACCCTGAAACTTGAAGAGCGATGTCAGGGTCGTCCTTAAAGTTTCCTCGGCGAAGGTCAGCGGCCGCGGCCGGGGTGGGGCCGGGCAGGTGTCGGCGCCTGCCGAGGTCCGCCGCGCGTCCGGCACCGCTTCCTGGGCGGCATCCTGGACACGCCAGGCTGCGCGGTGCGGTCGCGGTGTGCCCCGCGTCGCCGTGGGGGCCGCGGGCGCGGGCCGCGCTCCTGCTGCGGTGGCGGGGCGCCGCGAGCCTCCCCCCACCCCCCACCCCGGGCCCCAGCGGCGGCGGCGGTCCGTCGCGCCGGCCGTGCGCCAGCGGACTGGGGGGGCTTGGCCTGGCCCGGGCCCCTGCCGGGCCCGGCCTGGCTTTGGCTGCAGCTCAACGACTTGGCCTGCTCTGCCCGGCTCAGCCCGGACCAGTATGGACGCGGCCGCCCTCCCGGCAACACACGCCCTTGCTCCTGCTCCTGCTGCTGCCCCAGTGCCTCCTCACCTCCTGTCTCTCTCTCTCGCTCTGACGCTTCTCCCCGCCGCGCTCGCTCTGGCCACGGGGCCATTATGTCAGTGCACGTCTGTGCCCAGGGATTTCTGCTGGTGACACGCTCGGGCAAGCAACCACGGTGGTGCGACACTGTTGGCGGCCAGCTGAGTAGACTGTTGTGACAGTGTCCTGTTCGTCAAGAGGGGAGGTCCGCCCCCCAAGTGTGTCCCTCGCGCCTGCCGGCGTCGACTCTTCCCCGCGGGGAGCTGCTGACCAGAAAGGTCCCCCTGACCAGCCGGTCCACCCTCCGCCCGTGCCCCGACGCGCGCTTTGAGGTAGGTACGGACACGGACGGTACGGATGGTACGGACGAGCCGTGAGCATGACACGCGACAGGGCCGCGGGCCGCCACCGTCCGCTGTCAGAGCCTCAGTGAAGAAATCTTGCTTGCAATATTTGCGAATCACTTTCTTGCTAATGCGACGAAAATCCAGCGCCAGGGAATTCCACCGTAGGCTTACAAATCGACCAAAAATCTTTCGCATTACGAACAGATCCCTCACTGCAAAAGGCCCCTCTCACACTCGCCGATCGCGTCGTGTGAGATCTGTCAATCAGGGCCGCCTTACTGTCATCGTATGTCATGCATGCCGGGTGTCGCTCATGAGCCGCCGCGCCGATCGTTGACGACGACGGGGTGCCTTTCACCACGTCCACCACAAGCCGGTATGGCGGCGCTTGACCTGTCAATTATACGTCTATGGGCGCCCTCCCATCATGAGTTATGGCTATGGGCGATATGTGGTACTTGATCTGCCCCCCAATATCGACGCGCCGAGCTCGGCGGATGACTTGACCCCTCTCTCCCTGGGGTCAGGTCGGGTCGGAGGGGGCGAGGCGGGAGGTGCCGCCGCGCCGGGGAGGAGTGACCATACGAGTGTGTGTACTAGCCGTTGTAATGCAGATGGGTGACACACCGCACGCGAGTGTGTGTGTGTGTGTGTGTGCGCGCGCGCGCGCGCCCGCGCTCAAGAGTCAGTGTCCCGAGCCCTCTGTGTGTCTTGTACAGTGGCGCGCTAGGATTGGAATGCAATTGTGACACTTCTGCTCGAGTAGATCGCGTTTATTTCTCAATACAATTTGTTTTTTGTTTTGAAAATTATAGGAATTATTTTAGCACAATCAGTAGCATGTTTGATACTTTGTATATTCTGCAACTGTAAGAAAATCTCATTTTTTAAATCTTAGTTTTTTAATCAATCCAATTCCTTCCTATAATTAATTTGGTTTGGTCTCGGTGCTACAAAATCATAGCTACATGATAGGTAAATAATTCTCGCGCCATTCAGTTGCACTTCCCCCACCTCTCCTCTCACCCCACGTGTGTAGTGCTGTCTGGTCTCTGGCGCAGGGCGAGGTTGCAGACCCTGACCTCTCGGGTTCAAATCCCGGCGTCAGCGGTTGGTTTGTTTTTGTTGCGCCCCGCGGGGGGATCCGTGCATCGCTGACCCACTGACCGCCTCGTCGGGCAGTTCGCCTTACACTCTCCGCTAGAATTTCGATGACATCTACATAATTTTTTAGGAAAAAAGAAAAAACTCTTCTTGTCCTTTTACTTACAATAACTACCAGATAGGTTCACCAACAACCTACAGGTTCACTGATCTGAAGTGTGCAACCGGCAAGAACTCGCAACCGTGTCGTGAATACCTGCTGGTGATTTGGCCGTAAATTTGACTACTTAAACCAGTGTTGGACTCAAAAGTTGAAAGTTTAGAGCTTGTTGAACTCAAGTAATGCATTGGGAAGTTGGAACCGTTCAGACCAACATTCGCAAAAACTCCTCAAATTTGCAGATAAATTCGTGTAGTTATTCGACACGGCGCAGCTAGGGGACCATCCAGAAAGTACGTTCTCCTTTTGCCATTCCTAAACTGCCCAGTTCAGCTAATGGAGGCTCTCCTAGCGCCTGATCGGTAGGCAACGTCTTTCCTGCAAAGCACGCGTGCACTGCTGGGTTGCCTACGCTAGATTTCGCAGGCGCCGACCTCCAGAAATGTGACGAACGAATATGAGAAAAGCGGACGTACTTTCTGGACGATCCCTATAGTCGTGCACTTCAGTGACATCAGTGTTGCCTCGGCCCGCATTAGCGGCGGTGCAGTTTGCCCCATACGAGAGAAGGGCGCCGTGCAAAATCTATTTGCCTCGCGCCACGACTCGTGTTGGGGAGTTGTGGGGTTGTGCCGTCAGACTGACACGGGGAGGCTGCGGCGGCGGCGGCGCCCCGACGGTGACGCAGACGCACCGAGGGACTTGTTGGATCCATCAGCTGTTTTACGCCCCCACCCTGCCCACCGCCCCCCGCCTGTCGCAAAGACAGCCGATGCGGATAGCCGCGCTGCCGCGCATCCCTCGTGGGATGGGCCCGATATGACGCTGGGTGATGGCGATTCCCGCTCTCGTCTAATAACGATCGGAAATAGCAGAGGGACATCCGCCGCCGGCCGCCAGGGACGCTAACCTGCTGTCGCTCGCGGGTATCGCGCGCCTGCTGCCGGCTGTCGCGGCTGCCAGCGTCGCGTCAGCTCGGCTTTCATCCCGGCGAGTATGCGACCTACCCTTTCGATTAAAAGTCAATGACCTCCTGCACAAGTGTGCGGATCTCAATTCGCTCCTCTGCAAGTATGTGAATATTTTGGTCTCACACCTTCAGGGTGTGAACATTTTGTCGGACACATGCAGGTCTGTGAATCTTATTCCTGCTTGCAGGTGCAAGTAGGGTACCCCAAGGGGGTGCCCCTCGTCAGTCCTGTACGGCACAGTACAGTATATAAACTCAGTTACGAAAAAGTGCACGGCGTGGTGAAGCGAACCGCGTCCGCACCCTCTGGTGCAGCAGCAGTTTCGACGCGGCGTTGGGATCGCTGCCGCAATGATCTTGGGAGACGTGCCTTTTATGTTATTTTTTTCGGTCGGGCGAGCACGCATACAGTGTATCAATAATTGCTGAGCTTAACTTGAACTTGAAATTAAACTTTAACTTTAAATGCTCAGCTCTGTCAGGGAGCGCAAGGGGAGACCGCCCGGAAGACGGCGTGAAGTGAGGCGCCTGGCGTGAGACGTGGGATGTGAGCTGGACAGGCATGCCAACCAAAATCGCGAAAACATTTTAATTTTAGCGCGCCGCAGGCCAAGGTAGACGCACATTTAGCTCAGCTTCACACGGTTTTAACGTGCGTCTACCTTGTTTAACGGAAGACGACCCACCTCAGAATGAACAGCCCCCACTCTGGTCCCGCTGCAGCAATGGGCTCACGATGTCACCCCGCCCCGGCTGGCAACCAGCCCCACCCTACCTCCCCCCACCGCGCC